TTTTTTTTTTTTTATTATGTATTCAAATGACTTCACTTTATAACCCCAATAAATTCCTTTATCTAGATTACCTTCATTTTCGGGAAAAAATTGGTGCAAAATTTGAGAACTTATTATTTTCATCTTGATTCTGTAAACATTATAATAACAGTTGAAGAACTAGTAAAATTTCCAGGGTGGAGAGAAGTGGGACGACGCTACGGATGTTAACCGTGTAAATCATAAGTCTGATACACCTTTAAGGTTTCCAACAGACAGTCTTGAACTCATTTCAGCTAGTCAGTAAGTATATGAAGTTCTGTGTCTGTTTTTAGTCTCTGTTGAGTGGTCATTTCTGGAAGTTATTTTTATTTCCTTTACTTGTCATTTTTCAAAACTATGAGAAATATGTCGCGCCTAATGGACATTACTTTTCAAAATAACGGGCGACATTAGTTTCCGACAAGCTTTAATTACCAGTTTACCAAGTAATTGCCATTTTTTGATTGCAGTTTATGCATATGCAGTAAAGCTAATTGAACGGATAAATACAAAGGGGCCGCATATTTTCTTTTAAGATTTTGTAATACTACGGTCTTAAACATAATCTGTAACTTTTGGATTTAAGAACGGGCGTACTTGGTATTTTTTCCAAATTAGATATTACAAATTAATTAACGGAATTGAAATTTGATTTATTGCTTTTGTATTATTCATAACCGTGTGGAAATGGTGATATAAAAGTGAACAAATAGAGCAATTTTTTTTATTCTTATAAAATGTCAACGAAAAATACTTTTTTTTTTTCAAGGAGTTTGAAATTTATTTTTTCTTTTTTTTTTGTTGCTGCTCTTGCGGTTATTATATTTTATCTAATGTCTAGCAGAACGTAGGTAACAAAAATGTTTTAACGGGGGAAGAATGAGAATTGCAAAACAAGTGCTTCTCAATTTTTATTACCACATATGTATGGGAAGTTTTCGTTATTTGTATGGGAAGTTTTCATTATTTGTTCTAATTTTGGGTATTTTTTGGATTTTTTTACTGAACGAACCGGTTTTCTAACAGGATATTTCAGTTATGCATGGTGGGTGCAGTTGTCAGCTGGAAAAAGCTTTAGATAAATTTTGCTCTAACTTTCTTGGGAATTGGAGGGCTGCGTTTGGTATCAATAAAAGGATTTTAAAATTATTAGGAAAACATTTTGTTGTGTCTATTCTTGTGAGAATAGTCTTTTCAAACTTTTATATATTCTTTTTGTATAGCCAGCCAATTTTAACCTGTCTTTAATAACACATTTGCTTGTATATCAATAGAATCTGAAGATTCGGACTTATTAGAAAATATGTCTTTTTTTAGTAACCATTCCCGTTGTTTATTTAACTTTCTTTTTTGTTCTCTTGATCGTATTTTGAAACATGTGTGATATTTTTAGCCAGCGCTCGGAATTAGTGAAATGCCAGTCCCAACCGATCATCACAAGAAAACTTTCTGAGCCGTACCTTGGAAGCAGTTACAGTGGGTGGGATAAAAATTCGCGATTTCGCTCTAGTGATAATGCACCGGGTGTGAGGAGAGCTAAGTCATTTTTTGAATCCTCCAACAGGTTGAGTAGTACTAGGAGCGGGACATTTTTAGGCCAACGTACATTGGAAGAATGTAAAAAGGTAGACTACACTTTACATATTTTACCAGAATTGATGCACCCATATCAGCAGAAGTGGAGGTATTTTTAGGTAACCCGTAAGTATTGCCCCTCGAAAATGAGTAGCAGTGTTTCTTTCTTTGTGCCTGATGCTTTGGCTGCAAGGGGCGCTGTATCTCACTCAGAATCAATTGCTTTCGATGGGATGCTTCGACGGTACTCAGAAGAAGGGGGTAACGTTTTTTCAAAGTTCCGATATCCTGTTTTTTTTTTACTTTTGGTTTATGTTCCTTATTTTTGATGACTTTGGGGTTTAACGCCACTCTTCATCAATCTTGGTATTATTGATAACAATGTTTATTTTTATTTTATCTGTGTATCTGGTGACTCGCGGTTGGAGTTGTTGCTTGCCAGCTTGATGGGGTTGTAAAAATATATGCTCAGATGTTTTAAAGATTTTTTTTTGTAATTTTTTAATTTTTTCTTTATTTCTTTTAAGGCGAGAAGCGTCGTTGTATAAGTTCTGACAATTCAAGCTGTGTTGGAATTAGCGTTGAAAGTGGAGTCAAAACGGCAGTTGCTGCTCACTACAATCACAGCCTCTCTCAAGTAAGGTCTCAGTATCTGCTTTCGTTTAGTTTATAGGTTTAACCGAGTTTGTGTTTGAAAACAAAACATAATTAGTCGTATTTTATCATATGCTCTCTTCTATAAATTTCTTTTAAGGATTCAGAGTTTCCTTTACCATCTACTTCGAAACTCGATCAGTTGAAAGGTAATGAGATTGCAGAAAAAGAATTAGAAGAGGCAAGTTTCCTGAATTCATTTGCATGGTTTATTCACCATTTCATATATAATTAAATATATCTTACTTAATTTCTTGTAGTTATTACTATGACAATTCATTTTTGATTCTTACAAATACTGAAGATAGCTTCTAGGAAATGTGCATTCCCAATTCAATGTATTTTTCTCTTTCTGAATTTAAACGTGTAATAAATAATATTTTTTTAGGATAAGGAGGATGGAGCTAATGTAACTGAATCTCCAAGCAGTGCTGTTTGGCCACCAGTGTTCATTGCATCGACAGACATTGACCGACCATCTACAAGTGCTTTACATCGAGCGAACGATAAAGTAGGCAGAAGTTATCATTCTGAAGGTAAGACATGCGTTTGGTTATCGAACACCCTCGCGTTCTTATATGGTTTTTTTGTTAGGATGCGACTACTTAACTTTGTTGAAACTTCTGTGCATTACAACCATAATATTACCTTCAATTTAGATTTTTCTCCAATTTTTCACACATACTGTTGCCACATCTTATTTTCCTTTTTGTTTCCTCATTATCAAACTGAAATAATGCTGGATGATTTAGGGATTTCTTCGGATTTAAAAGTGTCAAAAATGACGAAGTTTCTAGAAGAGCTTATTGACAGGCATCCAGAAACATTAGAAGCAATTGAAAGCGTAAGAATGAGTCGCCTTGGAAGAGCGTACAGTTCTTGCCTAGGGTCCTCACAGCCTTTAACGCCGCAGTCACGGTAGGTTTTTGTTTTTAATAGATGAAATTTTGCAAGATCCAGAGTAAGTTCCATTACATCAACCGCCTCGTTGATTCAGAAATGGTCGAACTTGGTTTTTGCATTTCAGTGATTGTGCACAGCGGATATACATGCACTTTGCCTCCGGTCTCTGTATATAGGTTTGGAAGTATAATGCATGTATACCCTCTATTCATAAATACTAAAATGTGAGAGTGGTGCTTTATTGCAAACAGTGAAATATTGCTGAAGCATGTAAGGGAAGGTATGTTAAAGGAGAAGAAACGATTAAGCAAGGATATATCGGTAAAACGTAGAAAATTAATTAGAGAAGTACTGTTATCTTTTGGTACAATATTTTATCTTGGTCTTCACTATAGCCTGTGAAATATTGACTGACCTGCTACTATCTTCACATTATTTGTACTTTTATTCAAAATTAGAGGCTAGATAGGCGGTAAAGGAGCATAACAACAGACAAAGTACTAATCACTTTGTCACCAAAAAATATTCTTTATATTTTTTGCGTCTTTCTTAGAGGCAGATAGACACTCGTAGAACCTTAATTCACAACACTCAGAAATTTATTAACTTCCCGTGGATCATTCAGCAAAATTGTTCTCAAGATGTTAGATTTTAATTTTTTAATTTATACGTCTTTCACGAGAAACATCTGGATAACCATTTCTTAAATAAAAGGCTTGAAGTTTCAAGGAGATATCGGATAGGGTGAGGACGTAAGGGAACAGCAAAACGTCTGTCTGGTAGGGAGAGTGACTTAGGGAACAGCAAACACTGAGCCAACAAGTTGAGGCATCGGTTGCATGTTAGGCACTTTTGAGGGTTTGCTGGAACTTGTAGTTATATTTGGAATTTCTAGAACTCTTTATTTGGTGAAGTAGC